TCTCTACAAGTTCAAACAATAAATGGTGATGTGAACATGGAACTTATTGCAAAAAGTGATATTCCCAGACTACTCAGAAATTTGATTATAAGATGCCTTGACGTCAATCCTGATAATCGACCAACTTGTGAAGAACTAATTGATGTTTTTACGCAAGTGAAATCCAGAAAAGCTGGTTATTATATCGATGAATTGTCGGAGCTTTATAGACAAATCCAAAAAATTGAATCGTCAAACAATTGAAGTAGAAACTTTGGATTAATTTTAATTCATGTTAATTATGTTATTTTCAAATTTTATTGTTGGTCATTTTATAATAATTCATTTATATGAAAAATCAATAAGATATTTTATTTATCAATATTAGGTTTTTTAAATTCAATTTATAGTAATGAGTTATGGGTGATGGGCTTTTGTATTATCATTATGTTTAATAAGCCCTTGCCATGGATTCACATATACCCATATACTTGTAACTTGAATAGCAAGATTGATGGTTAAAATTTTTAAAGAAATTTACAATAAACATCTTATTTATAAAAATGATAAATTTTCTTACTTTTATAAATATTTTAAATGATAAATTTTCTTACTTTTATAAATATTTTAAATAATATATTTATTTTTTTAATTTATAATTTTATAAATTGATTATTATTATAAAATAAAAAATAATTTTAATACTATATTTAAATAAAAAAATTGACATTATTTGCCCTACAGTATTATCAGAAAGTGTCAAAATTTGAGATCTTTCATCAATAATAAATCAGAAATCTTCGATTTAAGTATGGTGGAAGTGTGGTGGAAGTAGGGCTAAAGTACATTAGCTGAAGCGAAGTATCTTATATGATAAATTGTTATGCAGTATACAGCACCGCTGATATAATTACAGTTGAAGCGTGATGATACACAGCATTTGCGGTGACCTTTATCCCTATAAAAGCAACGCAAATCTTTCAAGTATTACCTCTAAAACTTGTTTAATGGACTGATGCCCAAATCCGTATACTTATTGATGGGTTAGAAATAAAAATGATGAATTTTATAATCTTGGATGGAATAGAAACAAATTTTGTGATATCATTACAATCAGGATTAATCCAGAGTATGAAAAGAGCTTTAATAAGCACCAATGTAAAAGAGAAATTTAAGAATCTTGTTCAGAATTACAATGTAAGCATGTCATGATGAAAATTTTATTCGGATCAGATTTTTTTTCAAGACCCACATATATCTTAACTAAAAGCTATATGGATAATAATTCAAAATAATTAGTTGATGCTAATATTATCAATACAGATACGAGAAATAAAATCAATATAGACGTGGATAATACAAACCTTCCCTATTGTGTCAACGCTACAAGTACAGTACTCAGATAACACTGACAAATATAGTTTTGTTAACTTGAGTTAGAAATTCCCTCCCATGGTAGTATCTGCGTAAATTTTCTTTCTGGTTTGCAACAAATGCACCATATTTGGAACCGCTACTTATTAAATAATTAAGCTAAAGTAAACAATGGCACTGTAGAAGAAATTTGAAACCGCAATAATAAAAAATTGTTAGAAGAATCGGAAGTTTTGGTTCAAATTATTCTTCAACTGAGACTGCGCTTCGAATATCGCTTGGAAAATATTCTTACGCCTTTTTTTATGACTATTTTTCGATCATAATGCCCCAGATAATATTTAGACTTATGATAGAGAAATTTAGAACGATCAAGAAAATACAAAAATTGCTTAGGATGATCACAAGAAAAAGAAGAGGAATGTGAAGAAAACATCAGATTACCCATAGCTAATACTACAATAAATAATAATGATTTAATTCAGTATTTCTGGATATCGAAGTTGAAGGAATCAATACCTCAAGTACAACTTTTTTCTGATTAAGAAATGCCTGGAATATGCTTAATATCAAAGCTTCTTCTCCTTAATGCCCTGAATAATTTCTTTATGACCCTTTCCTTATACATTGTGACGTGAATGTTATCCATCTCCTTACCCTCTGATTATTTGGTCTCTGTGTGAATAGATTATGTAAAGTATATTGACCGTGTCAACTCCGCTGATATAATTAAGGCCTTCGACTGTGTTAAAGATTTCCGATATACAGTACATCAGAATACGAAACATTATCAAGATATCAGATGATGGAGCACCAAAAGTGTCATTGGAATCTACAGGATATTTTTAAAAATCTTTGTAGAAATGATTTACCCATATTATAGTTTTGTGATTTTGGTTTCATGTCCTAAAGCTTGTCTTAATTCTGCATTTCACGTTTGAACTTTTGTATTCTCATTTCCATGTTCATTATCTCATCCTAAATAATTTTATTTTGGATTGTGTGTCATTGCTTACACAAGATTAAGACACATTCTAAGGTTGGTTCGTTTATTAACACGGAAAAAAGGGTATACTATGTAGGAAGCCTTAAGCTAAGAAATTTAGAGACCAGCGGTCTCTAAATTCAGAAATATAATTCTAGGTTACATCAATATCAACGAAGCTAAAATGTTCAGAGCCACACTAAACATTTTGTAAAGAAAAATATCAGTATTTCCACCACATTTAACGAAAACAAGATTAATCTAGTTTCTGCAAATATACTAAAAAAAATATTACATAATCTTATTTCAGCATTAAAATTTTATTTACTGCACATTTAATTTCTACTTTACGGGATATGAT